TCAACAGTTCCAAACTCAATGGCAATCACCACTCCGACAGAGACATCAACACTCGCAACGACCACTTCAAGCAACAACTACTCCAACTTCCACAAGGCCTACTTCAACGCTAGCAAACACTACTTCAACATCAACTGAGGCATCGTCAACGCCAACAAGCACTACTTAAACATCGGCTGGGCTACTTCAGCGCTAGCAAGCAGTACTTGTGCATCGACAAAGCCAACAACAACGTTAGCAAGCAATACTGCAACTGAGCCAACTTCAACGCTAGCATGTAGTACTTCAACATCAAATGCGACAACGTCAACGCTAGAAAGCAGTACTTCTTTATCGACAGAGCCAACATCAATGCCAGCAATCAGTACTTCAGCACCGAGAGAGACAACGTCAACGCTAGCAAGCAGTACTTTAGCATCGACTGAGGCAATGTCAACGCTAAAAAGTAGCCTTCAGCATCGACTGAGCCAACATCAACGCTAGCAAGCAGTATTCCTACATCTCAAAACTCCAGTTTCGCTTAGAAAGGTATAAAAATTCTAATAATAGCTAGCACTACGTTCCATTTATTGCTCAGATACTTCGAATTCGCTCTGAGCAAGCGATATGAAAGCTCAGTTGTTAATAAAGTAGGCCTTTAGAGCCGATAATGGGCTCACGCTATGACGATTTTTGCGCTTTCGAACAGTGAATGACAGTTTGCCTCTGCTATCTTTCGCAGAAAATATTTTCATATCTTCCTTTACAGAATCGCTTAGCAGTGGAATCATACTATGGCTCTTAAATTGGAAGAATACGGTTGATATGTGTTCTGCCCTTGTTAGTATTTTTGGAAACATTTAAAATCTAAAGTTTGCCCACTAGTGATACGATGAGCAACATCGAATCTTCTGGACCCAGTCGAATGCTACAAGAAGATCCTATTAGGCAGCCAATCAAGAGATTGGATTGGTTGTTGGTTGTTGGTTTCCAACAGCAAAGAGAATTTTTACCAGTCAGCATTTGAAGTTCAAGGCTTATGGTGATTGATGCCTTGAATCAAGC